TCCTGCTGACCGACTGACATTCCATTGATTGTTTCATACTTCGGTAAAAAGAGGAGGGTGTTAAAGGGAGCATCAATTGTGCAGGATAAATGTAGAAGAACTGGACATAAACTTCCTATGACAATATTGTTTTCCTGTGCACCAAAAGCCATGACCACTAAATACAAATAACATTGAAAATTATTACTTGAAAGTGCTGCATTTACTACTTCAGGTCTGTACAATTTAGGTGAGTCATTTGTCAGGTTTTATAAAAGTTACCATTTCATCTGTTAAAAAGTCAGTAAATTCAGACAACGCACCGCTGGAATATCACACCAGATTCTAAAGTAAGCAATATGGCACGAGTCTCTTGCTGGTTGTAACTTATTTCTACTGATGGTCAAGTTTTGAGACTTGTTCGTGGTTGGAAATGTAGAAACCAGAGCACGTTACCAATGATCTGGTCTTCATTTTGAGCGTGTTCTTTCCTTTTGCTTTGTGGCGCATGGAAGTTGGAATGGGAGGTGTTTCGAAATGAGAGTGAGGTGCTATCACTTCTTAGGCAGTCTCCCCATCCTGTGCGTCAGTGGCCTATGCTATGAAGAGGTTCAGTATGGAGATGTGAGTGTGCAGTTAATATGGAAAATGAATAGCTGAGCTGTAAATGGGCTCACTGGGAGAGTTGTGGAGCCCATGGAGAGAACATTAATGTGTTGCCATGTTATTGGTGCTAATCACTTAAAATGTGCTTCTTTATTAGTAGCTTTAATGAGAGCCACTTAAACTGTGCATTAAAAAGAGGAACTGCAGAGAGGGACGACAGACTGGGTAGCAGGCAGTCATAATTTTAATTGAAAAGCTTTTAGTGTAAAAAAAAAAAAAAGAAAAAAGAAAAAAGAAAAGAAAACCAGGAATCCAGTAATCTCTTGCACTTTCTGATATCCCTTCCATTACGTCCCATCAATTAGTTTTGGTTTTAGGACTTGGGTTATTTTTTTCCCAAATGGTGGTGTATTTTTAATCCCTGCAACCCGTAATTTGTTGATTGAATCACCCGCTTGGAGTGGAACGCGTGGTCTTGAACACAGCACTGTTACGTTGGTAAGTCCAAGAAGATAAAGGGCAGAGACCAGAGATGTGACAAATCTGAATAGTCTTATTTTGGGGGGAAATTTAATGAGACAGCTGAACTGATCTAATAGCCAAAAGGTGAGGTCTCTCTGTTTCCCCTGCTCCTGGCTGTATATGGGTTTTTCCCTCCCTTTTGGTAGTTCTGTGATTTGCAAGACTCTTTCTGACAGTTTACTAGGTTGATTCACTTCAGCAGTTATTAACTCTTTTGTTATGTTTTTGGACGGTTTAACCAGTTGAATTGCCTCAGTGAGAAGTTTGATGAACACTAGAGCAAGTGTAAGGGGAGTTAGGGTGGCAGAAATCTTGTTTGTCTGCAAAGAACAGCTAGACTGACTCTGCTTTATTGCTGAATGGTACCTTGAATTTCTGATGTTCCCCAGCAGAATGCCCTCTGGGGATTTTGCATAGAAACTAGCATAAAATGGTCATTTTTGTTCTGTAGTACAAAACTCGGAATAGAACTGAGCCTATTAAAATGTGTCTGGCTGATGGTTTTGGGAGGGAAGTGCTGACATCCAAGGGTTTATCAAGTTTTTAGCTCAATCTTAGTATTATTAATTATTGTGTCTTGTTTTAATGGCTCAGTTTGAACTTACACTTCATAATGTTAAGAGACGCTGTCTGAGGCGGATTATACTGTCTGCCGGGCTCATGAGAGAAGGCTGTGGCCAGTGAACGAGCGTCCCTCTTGCTGTATGACGTTGTAATGGAGGTGGATATGTTTTGTTTAATTTCTTTCTTCATATCTTATATTAACGTTTGCATACTTTTCTTTTTTTCTTTCTTTCTTTCGGGTAGTATGTAGGGCAGAATGATCTGGACTGTTATGGGTTGTGTTACTTTCCCAGGAATAAGATAGATGCCCATCAGAGAAGGTATAAGTAGGGCATAGCAGCATTTGGAGTAGATTGTGAGTTTTGCCTTATCTGTATTCAGAAGAAAGGTGGCTCAGGGGTTAGGATGCTAGCCAAAACTTGAGAGAGCCGGGTTCTGTTTCTTACTTTGCCAAGGTTTTACTGAGATGTGGGCCGAGTTGCTTGTTCCCAGATGCATAAGAAGATTTAAATGCTGAATCTCAGCTTGAATGGAATTTAGACTTATGTGCCTCTGTCTGTAAGTTTTTGCCACAACATTTGTGTAGTACCTTAAACAAAGAGGGGTGCCCTAATTACTGATGTCTTCAGTAAGATATCTACTGCTTTGATCTGTATAAAGTATTTAGGCAGGTTTTCATTTGGTTAGCTTGTCTCTGATTAAATAACGATGAGATATAATATTCCTGTAGTGATGCTCCTCTTTTTAATGTCCCTCCAGGATTTTTTCCAGGAAGCTCTCAGGGATGCGATGCTTTCCTCCGTCACAAGATGACCCTTATTTCACCCTCAAAAAAAAAATTCCTTTCGACCGGGTATGTACAAAGATGCTTTGGAGATACTGGCAAGTTGTTGAGGTGCACAAAACATCACACCCATCTTAAGGAAGCAATTCAGTGCAAGCAGCTGGGGAGTAGATTGCTTGATTTCTAAATACACTATGATACTAAATGTATCTTATCAGTTTAAACCAGTAGCTGCTTATAAATGAGGATTTATGGTTTGGCTAAGCCACTTTTTGTAATGTACTTTTAAAACTTTTCACTAGAACTAACTAAAGCATTGTAACGTTGTCAGTCAGGGAGTGTCTCCAGTTAGAGAAGGGTGAACTGCTGCGACTTACCAATAGGCAGCATAACTCATTGATGATTCTTGGAATACAGACTTATGTTTTTGTGCCAGATCCGGTATGAACCACAAGCTAGAGTTAGACATACTGCTTCTCTGTTGTGTAAGCGTTCTTTCTGGACTAAGCTTTGCCAGTAAGGATCCATGAATCCCTTAAGTTGTGTTACATGAAACGAAGGGTCATATTTATTTGGTATGATTGCTTTAAAATGCTTATTCTTAAAACTTCTCTGGCAAGAAGTAGATATCCTGAGCCAGACATGCTTACCAAGGAATTAGTATCTGTGCAGAATCAGTCAGACTACTGCTACTGTGTTATCTGCATACAGAGGTCTTGTCTTGCCAGAACGGTTAAGGACAACGTTTGAAAGTATGACCCTGCCTGGGTGAGGGGTGGGAGAAGGGGGACTGAGGTTGAGGTACCAGGCCTCTAACTCCAGTGGAGAATGTCAAAGAATACTTGATTCAAACTGATTTTGTCCTTCCCCCATCCCCTTTCTGTCATCAGCTGTGGGCATTATGGCCATCTTTCTCTAAATAAAGAATTCTGAGTTCTGATTTTTTTTTTCTAAAACGTGGTTTTGCTAGAGTTAGTGCACCTGAGACAACAATATAGCATCTATTTGATGAGCCTAGTGATTCTTTGAGATGGAAATAAAAGATCTTGGCTATTTTATAGCATAAAAACTATGAATTCATTCAATTTACTGCTCCAGAGAGTTTCATTTTTCCTAGTGGAAGGCTGTGATGAATGAAATTTGAAGTGTGATCATCTGACTTGTCAAATGAGCTTGCTGTCAGTGTAGGGGAGACTTGCATGAAGCATTGTGGTGCTTATGGTTCAACATCAGTGGCTAGACTAGTCCTAGTTTGCACATGGTGGTTGATATTAAATAGTTCATAGAGAGTAACAAACCGTTTTTCTTGTAATCTCTCTCTGGAACCTAATTCCCAAGTATGAAAACATGGATATCTGATGTGACTGAAAATGATAATGAAAATATCTAATTGCAGCATTTGAATTTTTTTTTGTAGGGATGTTCGCTTTACAAATTTTGGGAGAGTTAGATGAGTGGAATATGGAATATGATAGTGATAGTTAACGCATAGCCATCCTTCTTGGGAATGACTTTTGATAGGCAGTTAAAACGTTCTCTATCCCAACCACGTTCAGAAAAGAGTACAAAATCTGTAGCCAGAGAGGTCTTTTGAAAATCTGTCTGTACCTTATCCTTATTTAATGGCCTAAACGGGACTTAAATGGTAAAGCAAAAAGAGTTCTCCTTCTGCTTCTGTACCTGTTGAATGCTGTGTCTTAGTACTTGTGGTGTTTTCCCTATGAAGTTGTTCAGCCATAAGCCATAGGGGATATAATAGTTTCATGAACAGAGCCTAAAAAGCGATCCCAGCTTATCTAAGGATGATGCTGAAAATACTACTAAAAAGGTACCTCTTTGTACATACTAGGCATTCTAAGTGAGGTTTGCTCTGTGATCCTCCAGTGACGTGCTCCTCCTGCAGAATGGAGGAGGGCAGGAAATGGGAGTTAATTTCTGGCTCTTCATTCAAGCAGTATATCTGGGCAGTACTCTTGTCTCTCAGAGTTCAGGATGTAAAGGAAATCTTAAAACGGTATTCGTGCAAGACTCCAAATGTTTGAATTTTGTAGATGGGCATGTTTTCCTCCAACATGATATATTGTTATGTGTTTGCTTTTCCATGTAGCTGAGGAAAGTCAAATTGACTAGTAATTATATACTAAGTGATTTCTGATCAATAACCAAGCCAGAGTAGCAAAAGAGTTTGTAAAATGGCAGGATAGAAAAGCTTTCCTTCCAAATTTATCCTACGTCAGCTTTACCAGGCTATATAATAATAGGGATAGCAGATGAAACAGCTTAAATTAGGGTGCTTTTAATTTGTAAAGTAAAGAGACTTTTCCGCTTAGGTAGGCTTCCCGCTGTAAACCTTTTGATTTGTGGCATTAGGGTTATTTGCAGATTCCTGCCTGGCATCTCTTCCATGTCTTTCTATACCTACTGAGTATGTATAGAAAATAAGGGCTATCTGTCCTGAGCTAAGAATCGGGTGTTGTCTCAGAATTTTTTTCAAAAACAGGACAGATCAGTGTACGTAGAGAAGGCAATGTTATTTTTCAAAACCAAACTTTATTTTTTAAAGAAAAGTGGAGTATTAGCATCTTAATTGAAGGAATGGAACTCCTAATCCTGACTTTCAGAATGTGGGGGAAAATTATGCTTTCTATGATAGCTTCTTTTCTTCCCTATGGCACTCACTGGAAGGACATTTTAAATGTAAAAGGGAGGAGCTCTCTTCAGTCTGAGCAGCCTAAATCTGAATAACTCTTATCCTGAAATAGGAGCTTTTGAAGGAGGAGCACTATTGTTCAGGGATAGTGAACGTGTCATTTTCTTTTGAAACAGAGATAGGACCCCTTCATCTATATTCTTGGCAGACTTCAATGAAGTGAATAGGCACGCATTTATAAATCTCTGTAATGGTATTTACTTCTGGAAAAAAGAAAAGCAGATCAATACTAGGGCTTTTTAATAATTAAAAATGTGTATTTCTGTAATCTCCTATTGATTTCTCCATTTATTCTGCAAGAGCTTGCAGAAGTCAGTAAATTTAGGGCTTTCTCCATGAGTGGCAGTTTGTGCTGGCTTTCCTTCAATAGTTATTACTTTTCTGCATGGCCTATCCATCATCTTGAGTGCTTTCTAATTTATTGTAGGGATAATGTTGACAGCAGTGACATGGAGGACATACACTGTGGGCTTGAAATGAAGACACCAGGATGTAGATTTCCTGACAGAAACATAATCTTTCCGTCTTTTGAAGTTAGCAGTCTCCCGCTGTGCTTTGATTTATGGCAAGGCTGGGTGGGAGAACGCTCCATGATGCTGGGTGCAGGCCAGGCTTCAGGACCTCTCATCCAGAAATATTGCAAGAGCTTCTTGCATTATGATACCAAATTTTATTCTTTTATTCTTTTTCTTTCTCCTGCTAATGTTAATAGCACTGGCAAGTTTAGGTCCAGCCTAGTGGGTGAACTTCTGTTTGTTTACCTTTTGTTATTTGGACCCATTTTAGTGTTAAGAGACTTAAGTTCTTTGAATGATCTGTAGGCTCCAACCTGCTCTGTTGTGAGTTACTACCGATGGGAAATAATCCAAGTGTAGGTGCTTGTCATTGACTGCTTGTTATGAAACATCTATCAGCACTTCTGGTTTTAAAAAAAAAACTAGGAAACGGACAGAATTTGACTTTACCCTGTCCGTAAAAGGGAGGTGCTATCACGTGCTTTTGTCAGCTGGAGAGCTGGAACTGGAAGGATCGCTATAAGAGCGCTATATCACTGCCAGTTATTTTTATGACATATGCTAGTATTCTGACAATTAGATTCCTTTTTTCCCCAACATCATCTCCTCTTCATAAGTTTTAAAAAGAATTTTCTAGAAGAGGCAGGAATTGATTAGCTTACGATTACGGCTATCATCTACAGAGTTTCTAAACTTCTTAAACCTCCTTATGTTAATAATGTCCATAGTGCTTATTGCTGTTTTAATTCTACTTGAGCAGACAAACAGTGGGCTATAAGTTTCAGGTTATTTGATTTCCAGGGGAACAAATGGGAATAAGACGTAATATAGATGGGTGGGGAAGTACATGTAGTGAAAGGTAGCACCCTGTGACGCAGAGTGTGTGTTTGGGAGGGAAATCCGGTTTACTTGAGTCCACTGACGTGGTGGGAATATACATTTGGACTTCCATCAGCTAAAGTGATCATGATCTAAAGATTGGTTGGTCTTTTGGGATGCTGCGGCCTGGGTCCTTTTTTGTAAATGCAGCCTGAGAGTCAGAGAAGAATTGAGACCTTTGGACTGCTTCCATCCGTTGTACTGTCTTTTTTTCCGTAATAGAATTACTTCAGAATTTCTGCAATTACGAGAAATTGGTCTAACTTTAGCCAAGAGTTGACAGTGTCTTTTCAGTGAATTTTAATGTTGTTTTTGAATAGGTCTCTGTTCTCAAACTGCTATGTCAACTGACCTGCAGGGTATCTCTTCCTATTATTTTTGTTTTTCAGATCACCCAGGAAGCTGGAGAGTTTATGATTACATTTCCTTATGGTTACCATGCTGGCTTCAATCATGGCTTCAACTGTGCTGAGTCTACCAACTTTGCCACTTTGCGGTGGATTGACTATGGAAAAATGGCAACCCAAGTAGGTGTCTGTTTGGATGAGGAGCTGCTTAAAACCGCTAGCTGGTTAAATACAAATGCGTGAGTGGGAGGCTTGCCTTTTAGAACAAAACTGAAAATACCGTTGCTCTGAGAACATGCTCTCTCAGCTGGTGATGGCAAGTGAAATGATTCTCGTAATAGCAGAAAAATCCTGTTGCTGAAGAAGCTGTAGGTTTGTCCTCTCTCTGTCCCCCACCAGTGTTCAAGTAGCTGAACCCTGTGTTGGTATTTCTAATCTTTTCTTATTCCATTAAGGCCGTGTGGCAGTAGGTGTAGGCTCTAAGGTTGTGTGGAGTGGAAGTCATACATTTGAGTTTGTTCTGGAGTTAAAGGAGCAGTAAGAAAAATCAAAAACTGTAAGAGGCCTCAAATCAGTTTTACGTGTCTTAAATTTAAAAACAGCTAAGAAAACTTGATTCTAAAATTTTAAAAGTCATGTTTGTCTACTCTGACCTTGTATACCAGTTTATCTGTAGCAAATGGTCATGGTTATACACCCCAGAAAATTGGGTTTATCATGTAAATTCTGACAGACCCTTAACTACAGCAGTGCCAGCAGGCACCACTCTAATATTAAAAGCAATTTTGGGCTCAGCCATGTGTTCACAAACAAGTGACATTTGGGAAGTGCAGTTTTAGATTGAGCCTCCATGCTTACATTGTTAAGCAGCGTAGCGTGAAATTACCGAACAAGCAGCATAGAGAGCTCTGAGCAGATCTGGGGAGAGAAAGTCGAAGTGTGGAAGGAGACGCCCAATTTATTTCCATTGCACTCAGTGACACTTGTCTGTTCACAGATTCCAATTTAATATTACCTAAACCACGCATTGCATACGTGTTAATTAACCCTTTGATACCTTAGTAGCAGGTTCCAGATGAGGTATGAATCCTGTTACGCTGCAAGGGCAAAAGGTTTGCTTAAATCTCATTTTGAGTTAAATAGAACTTAATGAAATATCAGCTGGCTGTGTACACTCAAGCTACCTACACATTTACAGAGAGAAATCCTACAGTGTGTGTATGTGTGGTTTTTTTTTTTTAAATGGCTATATTGATTCCTCTGCTCTCAGACAAAATTAGATTATACTTGCCTGCATTAGAGCAGTGTTTTCTCATGTCATATTCTCATTTATAAAGTTCTCATTTATAAAGTTCTTGGAAACTCTTGACTGGGTGGCAGGCTGCCGGTACATACTGTTACTTCATAGAGTCCAGTTGCCTTTCCTCGGGTTGGCAACAGGGCTGTCTTGTCCTGCTGATACTCAGGAGACTGGTGACAAGACAAGGTTTAAAACTAGCCAGTTGTAATGTTGTCCTGAACGTTATTCTGGGGATTAAATTTGGATTCTGCTTCCCAGACCTATGAGTACAATGATACATGTCAATGGCAGAGAGTAAGAGAGAGCTCACATAGGAAGGTAATGGCTTACCTCAGAAAAACCCAGATGGAGCAGTGCTAATTGCCTGCCGGAGAGATGAAATGTTCTGTTAACCACGGTGGAACCTGCCTAGACTGTAAAAATACATTATAACCGAAGTGAAGTTTAATGATCAGCTTCTTAGAAGCTGGTCCTGCTGTAATTGTAGAACAAGCATCAGCATTAGCAGAAAATCAACACTTCAGCAATGGCTGCAGAGTTGTGCAGGCAACTAATTGCGGATAAACATATCTTGTATCTGTGCGACCCCCTAGCAAGGATGAACAGATGCTTAAAAATTCAGTTGGAAATTGGTTTAGTGAGCACTCAAGTGAATAAACTAGTTGTCCTGTTCAGGTCAAAGCTTTTTAAGAACCGAGTGGTGAGGTTTTGGAGTCTCTTTCAGAACTGCTTAGGTGAGTTGGTATAAAGGAACTGGAAGGGGGTATGATTATGTGTGAAATGGTAATCTAGGGAGTGGTAACTGGTATCACATTTTCAGATGCGAGTTGTAACTGTCTCTGACAAGTAGCCTGTTACCGTATGAGCATCCTGACTGAAAGGCCTCTCTTAGCTAAGCACAGAGCCGATATAGAGATAAATTTGTGTCTTCATCTCAGGCTCAGGTGGGAGATCTAAGAGTTGATGGTTTTTGGCATATAGGTTACCACAAACGTTCAGCAGAATTCTCTGCTTTTTCCTTTAGGTTTGCCCTGGTCTTGTTTCAGCTTTTTAGTCGTTATAGGGACTTGCCTCCTAAGTCTGATTTGCTCATCTTTCTGGTAATTGCTTCTCTAGCCTCGATGCTAAGCACTGATAAGTGACGGACAAAATTTTTGTCATCTCTCGTGTTGTCTGTAAATCCTCAGGACTGATTGATCTCTGTTCTTAGTAAAAGTCAATCTCTTAAGATTGAGAGGAAGGGTATAACATTTTCCTTTACTTCATGTCTCTAATTATATGGTGGTGTACCACTGGGAAATAGCTGTCTTTCCTACAGCTGGAGATTGTGCCCGGAAGTATAAGAATTAACAGCTCTTTAACTGTTATCCCATTTACTGTCGATGTAAATGCCTCCATCTGTCCTCAAGGAACCTTGTGTTGCAACTGACTTCTTCCCATCAAGGTGACTTTGAGACCAACCGCAGTTTGCCTGTTCCGCTTAAACTATGTGAAAAGCTGTGGCTGAATAGCGCATCTGGCAGTTACTTGTCTGCGAGTGGGAAAGACACCTTCAGTTAATCTCAGGGCTCCCATAGATAATCCTGGGGTGCTGTCACTAGGTCTTTCCAAATACTTAATGGTAATTCATTTCGACGTTCCTTGCTATGTTGCACGAGGAGGTCAAACTCTTGCAAGAAATGCTGTTTTTAAGATGGTCCTGTCTGACTAAGAGAATGAATATGAATCTGTTACAGTGCGCCAAGCAAAAATAGATCTGAAGAAGTGAGTTGGAGGGTTTTTCTTAGCATTTGGGGCTGGTACAATATTTCAGGAGTCAGTCTGTAGTCCGAATTCTCTGCATTAGACTTTAACATTACAGATTTAAATATTTCAGTTGAGTAGAGATGGTTTTATTTTCATACGCTGTAGTTAATGTTTACCTGCAAAGACTGAGCCAAAAAAAAAAAAAAAAGAAGGATTTTACTTTCTACTTCCATGATTGGAGTTCTTCAGGCATTAGTCTTCCGTTCTTTTCCATGTTTTTTTCTGTTTGGTTGTTAAAGAAGGCCTGACGAATGAAAGGCAGTGAATGATAATTTTCATTCCCTACCATTACTTTTTTTTTCTTTTCTTTTCTTTTTGTGGTTCTTTTTGCATTGCAGCTGCTTTGCTTCACTCTGTTTCTGAAACTTCTGGGACGCATCCATCGATAGACTTGTGGGAGGGTCTTGCTTAGTCAAATATGTAGCCAATAACCCTTTTAAAGCCAAGTGTTTTAGTAGAGCGTCCCTTCTGAAGTCGAAGTGGCCCATGGGTCTCCCCCTATTCAAAAAGGCACTTTCAGAGTGTGTAATCTTGTAAGAAGTTTAAGTCTACCTCACAGGTCAGCTTTTCTATTTCTTTTGCAAACTGGACTGGAAATAAGTGGATGGGAGGGGAACAATTTCTTGCACTTTCCTTTATATTAATAGCAGGCACTCCTGAACGATAACATCTGTGTTACTATAGGTTGACATTTTCCTACCTTCATTTTATCTCCTGTTTACTGCAGAGATAGTGCTGGAATTATCTATCCCAATATAAAATGGGGTCAATTTGTCCTGCCTGCCCAAATCCTGCATTTTGTTCTGAAATAAGTAGCCTTCATCTCATCCTAGCTAAGACCCCCCCGCTCCGATGCTGTTCAGACCCGCTCTGCTGCTTAGTCATTTCCCCGGGGAGGAGGAGAAGGCGATAACTCTTCTGCTTTCCTTCCCGCCCCCGGTTTTACAGGTATATAAAGGTGTCTTCAAGAAAGGTGTTTTTTAGATATCACAGTATGGTCTTTTACATAGCTTATTGCTTCTGAACCCTCTGCTGCCATTTTTTTTTTTGTACATGTTATGTTGGAATAATGTATCTCAAACTTACGTTTTAAGTATTTATAACTTAAAGGTTGTCTGGCATATAATTTTGCTCGTAAAATTTAAGCTTGCTTCTTTTTATTCTTCAGATGCTAGTAGGTTTTCTCTTAAAAGATGTGCTTATTTTCCGAGAAATAAAATTCATGACATTTTGGCAGGAACTGTTTGATAGTACTGTAAAATTTTTTCCTCAAACGAGGAAAATCACAATTGTATTTTTGCGTTACTCTGTATGTATGCCTTGACTGACTCCAATTGACCTTAATTAACTCTAATCTGACCTTTAAAACTTACACTACTTAAGAAAAATCTTTCTAGTACGGAATAGCAATTCCATAGACAGATTCAAAAATCACTTGTACACAATCCTCCCCCCCCCCCTTTTTTTACACTTATTTTCTCGTATTGTTTGTAAATGTTCCTAATACGTTAGGACTATTCCTAACGTTCCTAATATATATTTTTATCGGCTCTCTTCCGTGATCTCCTTCTGAGGGTACTGAAGGAGCACTGCTTGTCGTTTTTGTTGGCGAAGGAAGGAGTTTCCTGCCAGCAGCAGGAACGTGCCCTGGACGCGTTCAGGATTTCAGGCGTGGCGATGGCTGGCTGCGAGCGCTTCGAGCGGCTGGCGGCCCTGCGGATGTGGCGTTGCTGAGTTGGTCGCTGGCCTAGCCCTTCCGGACGTGCCGCCCTTGAAAAAGAGGCGTTTTGAACCACTGTAATTTCAAATCCAGAACGTAACTTTAAACTGTCGAGGACCTGATTCAGCAAGCAAGTAGGACGTTTCTAGCTCGGGGCAGTAATGGCTTCAGGCCGCTCACCTCGCTCCTAATGCTGACAGCACGCAATTGGCAAGGATCTGTTTGAAAAGACTAGGCCTGTTTATACTATTGAGCCTAATTTAGCTTAGTAGGTATATAAGTAAGGTATAAACCACACTGTTGCTGGCTTTTTGAGTTCTATTTAATGTTTTGGCCAGCTCAGGGTGACGCTGC